GTCGGAAAATAAATACTTCTTAACATACATTTGCGATTTCACAAAATTTGCGGGCGCAATAGTCATTTCTAACCAAGAGAGCGCAACGGTTGCAGGCGCAGTTGTATCATTTATAGTTTTTTAAGTTCGGTCTTCCAAAAGAAATATTGTCCGATCAGGGAACTACGTTCACCAGCAACTTATTTAAAGATGTTTGCAAATTATTAAAAATAAAAAAATTAACAACTTCTTTATATAGACCAGAATCGAATGGCTCATGCGAAAGGATACATAGGGATTATGTGCAAAATTTAAGAAAATTTATTAATAAAACTCAAACCGATTGGAATAGATGAATTAAGTATGCAGTTTTTATTCATAACACCACTATTCATGACGCAACCAACTATACGCCTTTGGAATTGTTATTTGGTAGAAAAATTACTTTTGTCTTTAACAAAATCCAGCAATTATCAATATAATCACGACACTTATATTTATGAATTAAAATCCAGATTGCTACATGCTAACAAACTTGCTCGTGACAATTTAATATATAGTAAGGAACAAACTAAATCACATTATGATCAAAATTTAAGTCCACAAACTTTTGAAGTTGATAATTTTGTTCTTCACACTGATATACAAGTTAAAATTTACCATGATAAATTAATTGACGATTTAACCACAGAGGAAATAAATAAAATTCTAGAACAATTTCATAAATCTCAACTGACGGGAGGACATTTAGGACATAAAAAAACATTTAATAAGATTAGAAATATATATAAGTGGCCGAAAATGCGGAAAGAAATGAAAGAGTACGTCAACAAATGCACGGAATGCCAAAAAAATAAAATATCTAGATTAACTAAACAACCCTTAGTAATTACAACTACCACTAGAGAACCTTTTGAAAAAGTTTGCATTGACATATGTGGTCCATATCCAATTTCTGATCCTCTTAACATACATTTGCTATCTCACGCGCAAAGTATTGTTAGCGCTAACTGCAGCAGCATCTGCATTTCCCCACAAGCAATTGCCTAGCGTAGTAACAGTTCTGCCCGAGAAACCGACCGAGCCCGCAGTCTACACGAGTAACGATGTCCTGTCCGTGCCCGTAGTCAAGCGCGATGATACGCACGTGCACGAGGAGGCCCAGAAAGAACATACGAAAGTAGAAGAACAACCTAAGCCAGAAGAAAAAGAAGTGTCAAAGCCAGAGGAAGTTAAAGAGGACTCGAAGCCAGAAGTCAAAGAATTGCCAAAAACGGTCGATCACAAAGAAGAAGTTAAGCCTGAACACAAAGAAGAGGTTAAGCCAGATCATAAAGAAGAAGTTGAACCAGCAGAGCACCAAGAGGAAACAAAAGTTGAAGAACCTGCAAAAGTAGAAGAGAAGCATGAAAGTGTACCTGCAGTTTCACCAGCAGCTGGAGACGCTCAAAATGAAGAACTTGTAAGGACTAAGCGGGCACCGCTGATCTTGACAAAACTTTACGCGCAATACCCATTCCTAACCAAGAGAGCGCAACGGTTGCAGACGCAGTTGTATCAGAAATTGTTTTAAAGTTCGGTCTTCCGAAAGAAATATTGTCCGATCAGGGAACTACATTCACCAGCAACTTATTTAAAGATGTTTGCAAATTATTAAAAATAAAAAATTAACAACTTCTTCATATAGACCAGAGTCAAATGGCTCATGCGAGAAGATACATAGGGAGTATGTACAAAATTTAAGAACATATATTAAGTATACTGTTTTTATTCATAACACCACTATTCATGACGCAACCAACTACACGCCTTTCGAATTGTTATTTGGTAGAAAAATAGAGTTACCTTCGTCTTTAACAAAATCTAACAATTATCAATATAATTACGACACTTATGTTCATGAATTGAAATCCAGATTGCTACATGCTAACAAACTTCCTCGTGAAAATATAATACATAGTAATGAACAAACTAAATCACATTATAATCAAAATTTAAATCCACGCACTTTCGAAGTTGATGATTTTGTTCTTCTAAGAGACGAAACTCCATATCCGTGGAGGTGTAAAAAACTTTTACCATTATGGAAAGGGCCTTTTAAAATTTTAAATTCCGATAATATTAATAGTACAATTTTAGTTCATAATAAGCCGGTACAAGTCCATAACAATAAACTGAAAAAATTTACAGAAAATGATTAAAAGACCCCTGATTTTCGCAATCTTTATCAAACAGTCAAAAATAAAATAATTGAAGTAATCATAGGACAAGTGCATTAATAATAAAAATCATAGAATAGTAATGTTAGTGGAGTTAGTTTATAATGAAGTGTAAATAGCAATGTGTTAAGTTTAAATTTCATAAATTATTTAATGAAAATTTTAAATCTTTGATATGTTAACCCTTATATTATTGTAAATGTTTATAATATTTTAATATTTTGATAAGTATTTTGTATTCTAAAGTGGTAAGATTAATTTTTCTTTGTATAATACGCCGAGGACGGCTTTATTTTTGCAAGAGAGGTGTTAAGAACTATTATGTATTTATTATAATATTTTATGTTTAACACATTTTCATTAAAATATGTTTGCAATTTAATCTCGTATGTTGGCACCATTTATATGAAACTTTTATAAATCGGCCCTCATCCGACAATAAGGGTCGAATCAGGTAAAAATTGATATTTATTGAGCGGGGGTTAGTTATGTTTAAACCGCCAACACGTACATATTAAAAATATCAACACCCAATAATGTAAGTTACAATTTAAAATAAAATCTATAAATCTTAAAAAGTGTTTGTTTTTACATATCAAGAAGAGAACCCATAATTAATATCTCTTCAATGAATACTTTTGTCACAAAACAATACTATTTTTTAATTAATGAGTATTTTTTTGTGATATAAATTAGCCGATACTAAATTCATAAATGAATACTTTTGTCACAAAACAATACTATTTTTTAATTAATGAGTATTTTTCTTTATGATATAAATTAGCCGATACTAAATTCATAAATGAATACTTTTGTGACAAAACAATACTATTTTTTTAATTAAGGTAACCGTACCATATTACGGGATGTTAAGAAACGTTTGACTTTAAAGACGAATTTTAGAGAAAATAGGAAAGTGGACGAACTAAATCTGTTATATTTTGTTAATTAGACCTTTTAGATTATTATAAAACAAGATTTTTCGTCGTAGAACGTCATTTATAGAAATAATCGGCATTTTGGTGAACCACGCGTTTGTCTCTAATTCCGTGATAAAATTCGGTTCATGAACTTAATGCCGGGAGTCGTTGTACACTATTCCGTGATAGCGCTCGAAGCATACATTTACACCGTAAATACATACAACTACGTATTTACGAATATGTCCCTAATTCGCTGCATACATACACACATACCCGCACACTAGTGATTCGTGCTCTACAAATATCGTGCGTCATTGATAGAAAACAAGTGCACTACGGGTTTTGCCCTATTTCTATAAGCATTGAAATTACACAAATGATTTATCGTAGATGAAATAAAAGAAACATCTGATTCTCTCATTACTACCATATTTTATGTGTATGGGAATAATGGAAATAAGTAAAAAAATCATATATTTTCTTGCTAAAGAGTAGTAATTTCAAACTCAATTATTAGGGTTAAAAATAAAAAAAAAACAGTTTGGTCATTACCAAACTTAGTAACACCAAAAACACCACTAAATTTAAGCATAATTGAGAATAAAAAACTAAAATAATTCAAGTCTACTTTTCCCAATTGCGTGACACTCACGGAATTACGTTCAATGCCTCAATTGGGTGAACTTAATTACGGGAGTCACAAAATTGACACTTTCTTCATATTTGCTCGATTTAACTATAAAACTTATCACTTATTAATTCTTAACAATAATATCACAAATTTATATTGAATAAGCTTACCAGTGTCACATAAAAATCTTAAGCAATTGTAGCGTCACATTAACCTAACTAACAACAGGACTGTACGTAATGGCGATCGGGTTATGACTGATGCGTTCAGAAGCTCTATATGGTTTTAAAAACTAATATTTAAAATGGAAAATCGTGCTTATTTGATGAGATTCGAATTATAGTTTATGTGGTATTGTTTAAAATTATTATTCACCGACTGTTTTCTTATTTTGCGATCAAAATGAAAAACTCCCGTAATAATGTACTATCCCGGAATAGTGTACGTTTACCTTAATGAGTATTTTTCTTTGTGATATAAATTAGCCGATACTAAATTCATTGTAGTGTTATCCACCCCTTTGCAATAATTATAAATAATATTATAAATTCTATATAGCAGTCAATATGAAAGACGCAATATATACGTTGTTGACTCACGGCTCATAGTCTTGCAACATTGTATGCAAAGATTGTATCAGAGATAAGACGCTGTGCATGTCAAAATAACGGTTTCTTCGATGACAAACCACAAAATTGCGTCTCAAGTAAGCAAGAATGAATCATTCCTAGCAAACATTCTAGAAGGATGGTTACGTCATCATCAAAGACTATAAAAACCCTGAGAAGACGAAGTTAACGGTTCATTCTAGTGTAGTCTCCAATCAGTTCACATCAGTCTTATTTCAAAATATTAATTGTGTATTAAGTTGTAATCAGGTGTAACCGAATAATGAAGTAAATAAAGTTAATAAACGTCTTCAAATGTTTAATTAAACATTTCCACAGTGATAAAAGCGTTAGCAGCAGAAGAACCTAATTTTGTTTTTTTTTAATTTTTTTTTATTGGCTTCTAAATTACATCTAGCCACTTACAGTCTAATATAAATTATTACTACTCTAAATAATATAAAATGTATACATATAAGCTTGTCTACACATAATTCTATAACTTAATTTTACACTCCGATATAAAATTAATTAAAAACTTATATATTTCTGTATTAGATAATAATATCACTAGATTAAATGGTTTCCTAATATTTTTGTTTCTATAGATCTCATTAAATAAATTTTTACGTTGATTGTATTATATGATGCATTCAAGAATAAGGTGTTGCGAAGTCCCAACTGCTTCTCCACAGACACATATATTTGATGGTGCCAGCTTTAATCGATACATGTGGGCAGGAAAGTTACCATGATTAAACCTTAGCCTGGTTAATTCCACTAGAACATGTCTTCTTTCATCCTTATATAGCCGTTGCCATATTTTGTTGCCCACAGACGGATTAATATTTTTGTAGTAGTTACCTATGGTTGAGGATGTATTGTCCCATTCATTTTGCCACAGCTGCATACAATTGTTTTTAGATGCATTTATATAATCAATTAACGTGACCTCATTAATGACCTCTCCATTATCAGCTGCCTGTTTCGCTATTCTATCCGCGATTTCGTTACCTGCCATGCCGGAATGAGCTTTAACCCATATAATTTTAACATCACCTCCTTTACACAGAATTTGCTGGATGTACTTCAAAATTTCATAGTAAATTACCTCTTGCAAAGTTGTGGATTTTGTTAAATTTCTTAGTTTGCTTATGCAACTTTGATTGTCTGTGTAAATGATTGTTTTCGCAAACTGATAATTTATTATTACCTCTAGTGCCTTCTTAATTGCAATCAATTCAGCCCCATACGCTGACACAAAGTTTTGTAATTTGAATCCGAATTCAGCATTATTCGTAGTGCAATACACAGCACATGCCGTATTCTGATTATTTTTTGAACCATCCGTGTAGATAATTTTTTACTGTTCCAAATTCTGTGTATTTGCATTGAAAACATCAATCATTTTGTTTGAATTATCAAAAATTTCCATTTCATAATACGGATGTTTCTTGCAACTAGCTAGACTATTTTTTGCCCTTACTAAATTTATGAAACTCTTCACTAATTTGGGAGTCTTAATTTTGACCCAGTACTTACTTAATCTTGTGTCTACTGCTACCTCACATACATTTTCGATGAAACGCGAATTTTCTATTGAGAGATTTTTTAATACAAATTTGTCGCACAAGAATTGTCTACGTAGCTCTAACGGCATTTCCCTACTTTCTACTAGTAATGCATTTGTTGGGGTAGATAACATAGCACCCATACATATTCTCAGACACCTGTATTGTAATTTATCCAATTTCTTGCAAGTCTTACTGTTATTCCATACTAAGCAACCGTAGTCAAATATAGGCCTGAATAATGTTTTGTAAAGTTTCAGTGCCGATATGGGATGGGAACCCCACCACGTACCATTAAGCATTCGTAAGATGTTTATATTTTTTTCCACTTTTTTTTCTATATGTTCTATATGAGATTTAAAACTTAATTTTTGGTCAAATATTATTCCGAGAAATTTATTAGTTTTTTGAACTTTAATTATATGCTTATTGCTGCTGACTCTTGTCGGAAAATCTTTGTCCCTATGTCTGGTTATAATGCCTATTGAACTCTTTTCACTCGACAACTCTAGGCCTTTTGATACCAGCCATTTGTCAAAGTTTTCAATGTTTCGAGACATAGTGTCTATTGCATCTTGCAGGCTGGTTTTTTCAATATATATTAAAACATCGTCAGCATATTGTAGAATTTTTGTTCCTTGTTCCCAAATATGTTCAATATCCCGCACATATAATGCATATAAAATCGGGCTTAATATGCCCCCTTGGGGAAGACCTTTATACATTTTTCGTGGACCAATCATTTGATTATTTATTTTGTAGTATACATCTCTTTCAAACACTGTGGTTGTTATCGCTCTAACAAATTTCTTTGGTAATCCAATTTTGTCTAAGGTGTCATATAATATTCCTGGGACTACATTATCGTAGGCTCCTTTGATGTCGCTGAAGAGACATACCATATAATTATTTCTATTCATTGATAACCTTCATCTGTTATGAAGATGGCCAAGTTGTCATTTACACCCAAACCTCTCCTAAATCCGAACTGGCTTTTAGGAAGTAGATCATTTTTCTCTACCCACCATTCCAGCCTTCTTTTAATTAATCGATCCTTAACTTTGGCTACACATGAAGCCAAAGATATAGGTCTATATGATCCTATTTCATTCGGATTTTTTTCGGTTTTTTAATAAATATCATTATATATACGTTCCAATCTGGGATTAGCTCCGGCTTCAACCAGAATTTATTGATTATATTGATAAAATTAACTTTACCAAAAAAGGGAAGTTTTTTTATCATTGAATAGTGAATTTGTTCTCTACCAGGTGCTGTATCACTATTATTTCTGAGAATCGTATTGAGTTCCCATAGAGAAAACGGCTCTAATAGAATTTCACAGTTGCGCTGGGTTGAATGATGACTCCTGTTATCAATATCATATTTAGCTCCTGCTGGCGAATAGAATTCAATGATTTTCTCAGCGACTTTCGGTGGTATATTTTCATGTGTGGTTGACTCCGCCATATTTTTAAACCTTTTAATCATCCCAAATACTTCTTTACTGGAAGTACTTGGATTTATGTTGGTGACATAAGAGACCCAACTGTCCTTCTTTTTCTTCTTAAAGATTTTTCTAGCATTCGAATTCAAGTTCTGGCATATAACAAAATTTATATATGTTGAACTTTTTCGATACGTTTTTTCGGCGTGCCTTCGGTCTTTTACTAACTGATCATATTCCTCAAAGTATTCCCACCAGACTGGTTTTATCCTTGCACCTTTAGAAATGTTCTGTTTTTTTGGAATACTTTTGTCAGCAGCATTGTTAATGATATTTATGAATCTTGCATAATCAGATTTGTCATTAATCGATTCAAATCCTAACATATCCTGTTCCATAGACACTTCATATTTGCGCCAATCAGCTTTTTTGCAATTCCATCCTGATACCGATCTATATGGCACAACACAGTTCTTCAGTCTTAAAATTATTGCATAGTGGTCCGATCCAAGCGTGTCATTGGACACCTCCCAATCTATTCTATGAGCTAACTCCGGGGAGCAAACTGATATGTCAACTGCTGTTAAGTTATTTTTGAATCTCAAGGTTGGATTACCATTATTTAAAATAACTAAGTTATTGATATCGATAGCATCTATCAGGTTAGTACCATACTTGTCGTTGAAGTTGCAACCCCAAGACATGTGATGCGAATTAAAATCCCCGCATATTATAACTGGTTTGGGTAGATGAGTTAATAATTCATTCCACTGATGAATATTGATGTAATATTTAGGAATCACATAGATGGAAACTATATTTAAATTCGAGTTATTTAATCGTACACTTATTCCACAAATTTGGCATTTGTTTGGGTCAATGGTTTCTAGTTTGATTTGAATGATATTATACGGCACGGAACGCTTAATAAATAAAGCCGCACCCCCTTTGCCATCATTTCTGTCTTGCCTTACCGTGCTATATCCCTTGAGTGTATAATTTTTATAATTGTGAAACCACGTTTCTGATATCGCCAGTACAGAAATATCCATTTCGGACACGGTATGTTCAATATAACTTTTGTTCGCAGTAAACGATCTCGCATTCCATTGTAAAATTGTGAAGTCCATAGTTAAATACTAAATAAAAATAAGTAACTATATATATAAATAAGTAAATAGATTCTTTTTTTTTCTATCACAATTATATTATTTTATCACTAGCTCCCATACTTTTAATGCTTATCAATTTACGTAATAATTCAGTCATCAGTTTGCCAAAATGTGGTTCACTCGGATTGTATATGTTTCTTAATTGACTAATAAAAAGATTCAAAAACTCTTTTGGTTCTGAGTGCTCGCCTTTATTACTATAATGATCGTCATTATTAACAGAATTAAAAAAAATCTATTATTAACAGAAGGTAAGTTCGAGTCTTTCTTTGCTTTATTTATAGCTGGAAATTTTTTTCCTTACTTATTATGTTCATATTTGATTTAGTTTTTCTAGCATATCTATCATTTTCTATAATTGATTTTGCTTCGTGAAATGAAAAATTTTGCAATGCCATTAATTCCTGAATATCACTATGTTTTTTGCCATATGATTATTCCTACAAAGACAGCATATAAAATCCGAATTATTTGTGCACGAATTAGTATTGTGTGGACCTGCACATTTTGGGCACCTTTCCTCCCCACGGCATTGGGCGCGAATATGGCCGAAACGCCAGCATTTTAGGCATTGCATAACCTTTTTTACATACGGTCTAACTGGGCATTTGACTAAGTGTATCGCTACCTTATCTGGAATTCTGGATCCTCTGAAAGTAATTATAACGCATTGCGATTTAAATCTACGCGTATTAATATTTTTTGGTGTAAAACATTTCACATCGATTATTGTACTATCCGATACAATTTCACTTTTAAAATATCGTCCTCAGTGAGTTCGATATCTACATCAAAAATAATTCCTTTTCTGATTAATAAATAGTTTGGTATATATGCTATCAAGTTGTTTTTATTGAAAAATTCCCCATCGAGCAACCTATTTGCCACATTATCCTTACTTAAAACTATTTTTACTTTATTATTTCCGAGCACTAATATGTCTAACAGATCCGATTTCAGATTTGGAAAAGACTTATGAATCATTTTTCCAATCGCCATCGGATGTAACCGACCGATGTTTTTATTTCTTGATTGGATATAGATATAGTACGGCCCTGTGTCGCAACTTTCATATCGCAGTTGCATATCGACCTTTCTCTGATTGGTAGATTCGTTAACCGCTGTTGTGTCCATCGAATCCGTAGCATCGTCCACATAATTTTCCCTTGTTATGACCTCATTATTATTAGGACTGCAACTTGCGTTAATTTCAATTAATTTTGTTTCGTCATTATGTACTGTTATATCACTTTGTTCGTTGCATTTAGTGTTTATTTCCCCACTCGTTTCTATCGTATTTAACTTTTCCATAGTCACCTCTTTACTTCTTCTAGTTATTCTACGATCACCAACGCCGTCATTCTTGACACGTTTTTGCACGCCACTTTTAATTACACGCATATTAGATTCCATTTTTAAATTCTTTCCAGATTTAATTCTTGATATTCCACTGTTTACTTTTTCACCCTTAGATTTAACATTATTCACTTTTTTGTTTTCACAATCACCTTCACTAATTAATACATTGTTTTCTTTTGACAATTCATAAAATTCTTCAATACTCTCATTATCAGAATAATTAGTTCTCATAGCCTCAGCTACTGTTACACCTATTTCGGCGCATGACGGTACACTGTTATCGGGCGGGCGACCCGATACCTGCCCGTCCTCGTACTCCATAAACAAACACTATTCCTCACTATTGTATTCGATGTTGCACCTTTCGAAGTCAACTACCGACTGTTGTAGAACGTTACTTTTCCTATATCATTGTCGAACCTAATTATAAATGTTGACATCGTTGGCGTGACGCAACATCATTGTTGGCAACGGATCCACAACCTATTTGTTGTTAGCTCAGGGGTGCACAAGATATTTATTGGTGGCAGTGTGGGATTCTGCAATTTTTTTTTATATAAAAAATGCTAAAGGTACTCACTACAACATAATTTAGTGTTCATGTGGGATCTGTAAATTTTTTTTAAAAAAAGTGCTAACTTCCTTATAAGGGAATACACCATAACATGTTTTGAACATAGAATTATTGCATACTTGGAAAACAGATATTGGAAAAATACGCCGATAGTATAGCAATGATTAGATTCAAAAAACAGTGAAAAGCTTTGCCGAAAGTGGAAATATCAGTAGAACTACAAAGTGAAGACTTCAAGGAATCAATAATCGAGAAGAAATTAAATCTTACAAGAATCAAAAATCGAAAGAAATCAAGTACTACAATAATCAAGAAATCGAGAGTTTAATCAAAGTATAAAGATATATAATCAAGAATCTATAAAGAAGAATTTCTAAGAATCGTATCGAGAAGAAACAAGAAAATCAAATCAAGAATCAAGAAGCAAGAAAAGAGAAAGAAGATAATACAAATCAAGAAACAAGAATCGAGAAGTTCAAGTGTTATATTCACACGTGAAAAATCGAAGGTGAAAAATAAAATAAAAGTGTCATGAAAAGTGATACAAATCATTGTTCAAGTGTTACAAAAGTTCAAGTGCTTGTGAATTCGAGTGAACCAGAAGGATATTAAATTAAGAAAGGATTACAACTCATTGTCAGTAAGCTAATTTTTAATATATTTTTTGTAAATTTTTGCGCTTCTGTTTTAGTAGTTTTTCACTTTTTTTTAAAGATGAATGAACCAACCGATATGTCACGCGAAATTAAAATAAATATTCAAACTGCTATTGCTTTAATCCCGAATTTCAATGGGGAACCTTCAAATCTTCCTTTATTCATTACTCCTTGTGATGCATTGTCGGTGGATTTGAATCCATCAGAAGCGGAAAAATTGCTTACAGTCATAAAATTGAAATTAGACCCACAAATTTTTGCAAAAATCCAATTTATTAATTTTGAAACGTGGGATGATTTAAAATGTTATTTAGCTAAAGAATATGTTGCAAAACGATCCATTTCTAGTTTATTAAACGAATTGAATCATTTAAAACAAAAATATAACGAAACAGTAAAAAGTTTTGGAGACAGCATAGAAGAAATTTTACGACAAATTTATTATTCAAATATAATGTTGTGCACCCTTGGGCTAACAACTAATATGTTGTGGATCCGTTGCCAACAATTATGTTGCGTCACGCCAACGATGTCAACATTTATAATTAGGTTCTTCTGCTGCTTACGCTTTTATCACTGTGGAAATATTTAATTGAACATTTGAAGACGTTTATTAACTTTATTTACTTTATTATTCGGTTACACTTGATTACAACTTAATACACAATTAATATTTTGAAATAAGACTGATGTGAACTGATTGGAGACTACA